TTTTTTTTTAGATAATGGTATAGTCCGAACAATATAGAGATATATTGAGTGTAATGATAGTTGTGTATAACACAATGAGATTACCAACACAATTGATACCCTCCATTATCAGGAATACAAAGTCATAGTGGTCCAAGTGTGGATTTAGCTATCTTTGGATTACACCTTTCTGGTATTTCAAGTTTACTTGGAGCCATGAATTTCGGCTTATTGTTGCCGTTATTTTTAACCCTATTCTTAACACTATTAATGATTTATTTTATTTTTTATTATGGCACAGTTTTATCCTCTTTATACAAAGAGGAAAGTTTTATTTTGTTAGAGATATCTAATGATTGTAGCGTAGACTTCAGTGACACTATCGAGCAAAACCTTTATAGTGAAGATGATAAAGAGGAGCACCAAGAAAATGAGTTAGATAACTTCGACGAAGATCCTGAGGAAGATCCTGAAGAACCTGATAAGAATTCAGGTAAAAAAGACGATTGAGGTCTTATTTTAGGAAGAAAAGGTAAAAGTATTTTTGTTCAGGAGTTGGCGAATTCTCAAGTTAACAGCAATAAACCTGTAACTTTAAAGGTCTTAAATGAAATATTAGCATACTCTAGTGTATTAGTGAGCGAAGATACTTTAAATTCCTTATTAAATATGCCTCGGTTAGTTTTTTACGATTTACAAAAAAAAGAAACCTTAGATTTTATCTACGATAAATTGGGAACACCACATAGTAAAATACAGTCACAAGGTGTTTATATTTTTACTTATTTAAGCACAGCTCAAAAATACGTAGGTTCATCTTCTCAATTAGCTTTTAGATTAAAAGGTTATTTAAATAAAACTCATAAAAGCACAGGTAAGTTAATTCCTTTAATAGAAGAAGTAGGATTATCTAAATTTAAATTAGAAGTAATATGTTTACCTTATTATCCTGAATTTAAATCAGAGATAGTATTAGAGCAATATTATTTACTAGATCCATCTTTTAGTTTAAATACTATAAGAGTTTCAAATAACCCTAGCGGATATAATTTTAAACCTTTATTTATGTATAATAGAGATAAATCTATACTTTATTATTCTACTACACAGCAAAAAGATTTTATAACTAAACTTAGCATAAGCCATTTAACCTTTACTAAACATCTTACAAAAGGTACTTATTATTTAGCTAAGTATTTATTTACTAGAGAAAGTAATAATGCTGCTAGAAAGTCTCATATGACTTTAGCTGAAATAGCTTTAATGTTAAAAAGAGATAGAGTTAACTATAATAGAGAAAAACCTGTTAATGGCTTAAGTAAAGCTATTGCACTAATAGATATTCAGAATAAAGAAGAATTTATGTTTGAAAGTTTAGGACAATGTATTATATTCTTAAAAAGTAAAGGATTTTCTGCTAGTCAAAAAACATTAGTGAAACGTTTAAATACAGATCAATCTTATAAAGGTTTTATATGTAAAACTGTTAATAATAAATATAAAGAATTTTAAATCATAAAGTCAATGTTCAACTAAGGGTTACTAATATAGTAGTAATAAAAGAAATGAGGTTCATATAAAATTAAAACTATATGCTGGAAAGGCTTAGTGGCGATAAGTATTATGGAAAAAGTCCAAGTGAAGATCTTATTGGCCTATGCACAATCAGCAGGAAACCTAACATAAAAGTATACAATACTTTTACGGACTAGGATCCTCAGAGACTATATGTTTTACACCAGATCGGGCTTCCGATCTGCTGAAGAGATAGTCCACAAATTTAACAATGTAATCTTATAAATTTATAAGATTACATTGTCAAAAGGTGTCATGACAACTACATTTAATATGAGAAGTCCTGGTATAAGATTACATAAATTAATCCTATTTGCATGAGCAGTTGTTATAACAGCTGTTTTATTATTATTATCATTACCTGTTTTAGCCGGTAAACTAAATCTGCCGGCTCTAAATTTGGCTGTATTCTGGGAACCGTTATATGAATATATATCGCAATCAGAAGGTAATCTATTAAGTTTGAACTTTTTAGAGAACCTCAGAGGCCACACGCCAAAATATTTTGGTTGTAGTTTATAAATTTTGACCTTTCCTTTATTCACAACTCTTAGATCTGTTCATACTGATACCAATAAAAAATTAAATAACTCTCTATTTAGCTATTATTTTACCGGGCTTATTGAAGGTGATGGTTCAATAATTACACCAAAAACCTTAAGAACCCCTAAGGGTAGGTTAAATTACCCTTCTGTACAAATAATTTTGCATTTAAAAGACCTACCTCTAGCTTTACTCATTCAAAAAGAATTAGCTGTAGGTTCACTATCTAGAAAAAAGGGGTAGATGCTTATATATTAACTATAAATAGTTATGAAGGTATATTGTTAATTATTTCATTAATAAATGGGAAAATGAGAACACCTAAAATACATAGTCTTAACGCATTAATATATTTTTATAATAAAAAAAA